AACTTCCATTTGTGCAGAATGCAGATGTAAAACTATTCTTCGGGAAGGGTATTCTAACCAGCTTAGCAGGGCACTGGATTTAGCAGGGCAATGGACAGTTGTGGTCCTCAGGAATTCTAATACTGGTTATTGAGGAGTTAATATCTTAGTGCTAATTAATAAATAACAGTTACCTCAAAGCTGCCTCTACTTGAAGAACACCATAATACATCATCCTTTATGTTTTTGTCTGCACCGTTAAAATTTTTGAGCTATGCTTCCTGACTGGTTTCATTACTCTTCAATGTATAATGGGCACAATCTGAACACAGGCAGTATGTATTTGATATAAACCTCATATTACCTATTTACAGCAGAAAACAAAGACTGGGTTATCACAATTGAGCATAACCCTCTGGAAGCTGTAGTTGGCATCTATCTCAGCTTCCGTTTTATGGGCAGTTCCCACAGCCTTAAGACAAGTGAAATGTTGAAAGGGTACAATTTATTTTATTGGGTTTTCCCCCTTACATACAACAAGCCCTTACGTATGCATATACCGATGTATGCATATATAACGCTAATGTGCAGTTGAAGATGAAAATAACTCCTTTAGACCATCCAGGAATGTACTAAAAACCATTTAAAAAGTCCACAGTAGTAGTATCTATATACAACTGGTCATGAAATTAAGAAGGCCTCCTGGAGACCTTTCATTAAATTGTATGTAACAACAAAAAATACAACATGTATTTTACATTTTGGTTAAGAATACTGAACAAATGTATTGGTGTACAAAGAAACCCAATCAAACAATGTCCTATTGCTTTGATTAATTTGAGCAGGTATTTCAAAATTTAGGCACTTGGTAGCTACAGTTGAGTAGAGAGCTCATCCTCTCTTTTTTCCTGCATTCCTATGCATTTTCTGGCATTACTGAGCCCTTCAGAAGGAAAGTTAATGTACTGTGATCAAGGCCTTAATTAAAATGGTAGTGTGCGTAATAGTTCTCATGGCAAAGGTATCCGTCATCCCCCACTTTCTAGTTTACATATGTAGATTTCCCCGATTCAGTTCACATGGCTATTTCAGCACCATTGAGAGAACGCAAGTTCTGATCATCGAAACGGCGCCTCACGCTTCTCCTCACCGCATCGGCTCGTCTGTAGGGCTGGTTTCTAAGATCTGTGGAGTTTGAAAACAAGAAAAGATCAGAAGCAGGTTGATCTCGGGATCTGGATCTAGACAAGAAAAAGTATCCTGCTGGTAGCCAATCAAAGCAGCTTGTAGCAAAAGAAAGAAAAGGGATGTTTTAAACTTGTGGAGAGCAAAACTCATAGCATTCACTAAATGCTAGTAAAAAAGGTCCTCGTGTGCAATGTATACCTACTAGTGCCACAGTGTGAGGAGGGCTACATTATTATTCAGTGACAGCTGCAGGATTGCGACTGTACAAAAAAGCATCAGCTTTCTGGGTGATGGCTTGCTTACAAGTTCCCCATCTCAATTTTTTCCTGTATGTAGTAAAGTTATAGTCAGTTCCTCCCTGGCATAAAAGCACACTCCATATAAAGACGTGTGTGTTTGGGATGGTTAGCTTCAAACAAGGATTCTCTCACCAAGGACTGTACACTGTGTCACCATGATGAAGAAGAAGAGATTGGATTTATACCCTGCCACTCTGAGACTCCTCTGGATATTGAAGGGCGGGGTATAAATCCAATCTCCTCCTCCTTCTCTCAGAGTCTCAGAGTGGCTTACAAACTCCTTTCCCTTCCCCTCCCCACAACAGACACCCTGTGAGGTAGGTGGGGCTGAGAGAGCTCTGACAGAAACTGCTTTTCTTCAAGAACAGCTCTTATCAGAACTATGGCTTGCCCAAGGTCATCCAGCAGCTGCAAGTGGAGGAGTGGGGAATCAAACCCAGTTCTCCCACATTAGAGTCCACGCACTTAGCCACTACACGAAACTGGCACTCAATCAGTTTCTATTCCTTGTTTATCCCTAATGGAGGGATGGTTTTTTAATCGGGGGGGGGGGACAGCAGCAAGATCAGACACTAGCATCAGTTATGCTAAACGATGTCCCCTTGAAGGCTGGGATTCACTCATGCTTCCCACCTCCCTTGAATGTCACT